GCAGATTGCATTCATTCAAATGCATTACAAAGAGAGTCGCTTCGTTAGTTGGTTGAGGATCACTTTGTGGAATATAAGTATGATAAATATTAATGATACTTGAGAATTCAGATAACAATCCACCAATAACATAGAGTATGTTGTTCATTTCAATGTGAGTGTGTGAACACGAGCAGTGTTAAGATCTCACTTGGAATAACCAAGGTTTAAGGACCTTAATACGGAGGTCCCCAATGCTGATAATGTGAGTACATTGTGAGAATGGCCAGTTTGCCAGTTGGTTTTTTAGCATTCTTGAGTATTTGTGTACTAATGAATGGCCTTGACCTCACAGAACGCATCGGCATATGCATGAAGCGTGTCACCATGTCACATTTTTCAATAAAAAGGACTCAACGAAGCTGTACATCGAGAAATTCCACATCTGTACTCTAAAGTGGGAAGATTTTAGAAGTAAATCAGAATCGTCTTCTTTCTTTTACACTTTGTCTCATTTAAATCTTATTGTAAGGAATTCGTGCGAATTCACTTGATGAAGTTTAGCTTTGACAGTATTTGTTTCAATTAGTTGTGCTATTGCTAAATAGCTAATACATTTAATTCGAAATGACATGAGCTAACAGCAGATTTCATCGGTAATGAATTTCACAGGTGAATACAACGCAAAGAATAAAAGATAGTGGGATCGAGTTTTGACATTTGTGACAGAATGTTCACAGAATCAGGCATTTAGCAATTTTAGGAAGCAAATTCCATGCTTTACTCGCTTTTAAGCATCAGTTAAGTAAGTTCGTCAATGCATTGTACTGAAAAAGTAAGGAGTTTTCTAACGCAACCTCTAGGCGAAGCGGATAGGTTGACTACCTGATTTTTTTAGCCATCAGCATGAAGCAGGTAGCGAAATTCCCTGCATTGATGATACGAGAAGGAATGTAATGTTTTGAAGTTTCATCAGGAGGTGCTTCGTAAAATCAAGCTTAAAAATCTGAACTTCAGACAATCTCACACCTTTCATAATCACTTAATTTCTGATGATCAGCAAAACCTTCAAGAAATCGGGTGGTATATAACTTTTTGCTCAAATAACTGCCAGTTTTAGAGGTTAATGGAATTCGGATGCTGTACTGTTAGGTGGAATTTACTCGACCTCCAGACGTCCATTTACTTGACTGGTGGAAAATTCATTTCACTCATTTCATGATGTAACCAAAACCAAATGACCCCATTATTCATTTTTTGCCTCGAAAAGGATTTGTTTTAGCTTAAAACTCATACATTTCTGCAATATTCTAGCACTTATTTCAGTAAGCAAGGACTCAACCGAGATCTTAAGCAGAGCAAGCAAGAAGCACGGTTTACGGAAGACGATCTCTTGAATGCCGAAAACGCGCGTACAGACAGAGTGCGACATCTACATACGTATTAATCGGCTGGAGCACTGATTCCCGGGTTAATTCCGTCCTCGCACACCCCAAGTACCCCCACATGATCTTTGAGCATTTGGGGGGACTCGGTGAGAATGCTAACTGCGAAGTGTTGCAAAACATTCAAGAGGCTGGAATTTGTGAAAACATTATCAAACTCCGTCATATCACCCCAATGTTGGGTTAAAAAAGACGTTCTCTAAGCTCATGGCAATTGGCTTCATGCTTTCTCGCCGATTACTTTTGCAAATTCTCACAAGGTTTCTGGGCTCACGAAATTCGTTTAATTTATGCGCAGCAGAAAAAGAGGAGAGATGGAAAGATTACTTTTTCATACTGCTCACAAATTCAGTGACTTATTTCTCAACATTCAAACATCTCTAAATGCTCTTCATTTGGAACTGTGTAATTCAAATGAGCAAATTAAACACATAAAACGCGATTCATGTACATTTGAAGAAAAGATTACCTGCAGCAGGAGAAACTGGCTACCAGAATGAATGTGAACGAGGACTAATACTATCCACAGAATTCATCGCCAGGTTAAGATATTTTATGGCTTAAACAGAGTAGAAATGACAAAAAGGGCACGATTTAACCTCATCACTACTTGTCACATGTTTACCTGCCTCCGACGTCATTTCGGTTTTTCCAGTGGGGACAGTCTAACCCAATTTGTGGGTTGAATGCTCCTTTAGATAAATTTTCTCTCTTTTTTCTGTATAATCGAGCAAACGTGGCAACATAATCCTGGCCATGAGGGGTTGAGTCATTTCTGGGACTTTGGGACTCAATTGCGCACCTACTGTCTCCGACGTTGAGCCGCCAGTTTTGGAGGAAATTTTCCCCAAGCTTTTTATTATAAACAATTCCTACGTGAATGGTCAGAATAATTTGCTATGCTAAATCTGTCAACGAACCGACCATATTTTTTGCTTCTTAGGGTATTTTTTTCAGTACGAATCAAGGGGTTAATACTTAGGCATTTTCATTACGAAGAAGATAGTAAACCTCTTTGGACACTGCTCCTGAAAGTACTTTCAGTTAATCTCTAGTTTACAAAAGTGATCAGTTTCTTTTAATGCATAGAACTTACATTTTACTACAGATTTATTAACTTTATTCGATTACAGTAGAATGAAATTAATCCGAATTTTGAGAAAGGAAATATTTAGAGGGAATTTTGTGAGAAAAACCAAACTTTCCCTCGATATATCTTGATTTAAAAAAGGTAGTTCATTCCACATTTAAACCAATAAACTAGTAGTCCGCATAGCTACTCAAGTATTGAATTTCGGTACATACTACTTAAATGAGTGATAAATTGTTTCGCTTTAATTATCACGGTAAGTACGGTCTTCATTCGGTGTTGCATGACAAACAATTGCCGTATGTGGAGTTGTGTGGACCAGATCCTAGCCGTTAAATGTTTGAGGTTTTGGGGTAAAAAATTCACGGTGAACGATTCCATCAGTTCTTTTGGGGATGAAGTTGTGCTTTAGAAGAGTAAAGTGGTTAGCGGGTAGGAAGTTTCATTGTGGGAGGCATCTATAATGTCAAAAATCAACTTTATTTACTTTTTCTCCCTAGTTGATTCAGGTTTCTGACAACTGCTTAATTCACACTCAAGTTAAGTGTTACTTTGCTGCAAGTTCAAAGTTCCTGCTGTGTCCATTTGGGAATACTCTCCTTACCAAGACCGACGTGTGATTATTTGCTGTTATGAAGACTGAAAGGTCTACCACAATATTGTGTATTTTAGATATTATCGCCACAGTCGTATTTTACGGCTTCGCTGTGATGCATTCTGCTACCGCAGCTTCTGTGAATGTTATACAAATAACGTGGGGAGCTTCTGCAACTTTGAAACCGAATTAAACCCGACCCGTAAATCAAAGTGGTTTAGGTCGTATTCATGACTTGCAAGATATATTTTGATGGTCGAAGGACCCGAAAAAGAGGGGAACGGGAGAAAACACAATAAAGCAAGTCGTTATTGTAGATTGACGCACATATCGATGCTTTGTAATGCATCCATATAAACAATCGCAATAAATTCACAGGCCACAACAAGTTGGCTGATAAATTTAAAGTGGGTTGTCGTAGCTTAAAACAATTAGGTTCAAATAAATGCATGTTTCGGCCAAGGTGACACTCTTGGTAAATTTCAGCATAAACTGGTGCCTATTACCACCAGCTGGGATCTTGCCGAGGGATGATTAGAAGAGACAAAGACGTCCCCTCGACTATCTTCAGTGCTGGCCCGCATGAGTAAGCAGATAAGCATAAGTGACTGCTGAATGACCGATGTGCACACAGGGTGGGTCATGTCACTGTGTGGTCAAGGTCAATCGAAGAATTGTAAATCCATGAGGATAAGTACAACATTTAAAGTCTGTCTGTGCGTGATTTGGCCATGCAGGGGAAGCCGACTGGGACTGCGGGGTCTGGGACATTCTTAAATACAAAAGAATGAGGTGCGACAAGGAACATTTTCTAGAAAATTGGAATAAGAACATTTTCTGGGATGGGAGATGCCCTCACCACTTTTGGAATCAGTAGATGCCTTGTTTTTCTCCCTTTAATTGTCGCTTACCTTCTGATATTTCACAACATCTTTTATAAATCAAAATCTACGGCCACATCACCAATATCTTTTGATCCTACACCGACCCAGTTAAATTCAGTCGGAAGCATTGAATAAGTTCAAGAGTTACACAGTACAATATCCTCAATAGCTAAAACATTTTCCTGATAAAAGAAAAATGTGCAAATGACGAAAGTTTAAATGACCTTCCTGTGCCACAATATTGGAAGCTTCAGACACATTAAGCTGACTTTTCTGGTGTCCTAGAACATTAACTGCGAGAAAATTTTACTGTCTTCATAATTAATTTAGGTGTATTTGAAAATTACAGAATTTGAAGTGGGTGCAAATAGGAGATTAGAGGCAGGTCCAATCAAAAATGGACAAGGTAAATGAACGTTTTACTTCTTAATTGTTAATATCACTCCTTTTATGATGAGATTTTACCGAAAGGTTCGTCAAAATTTCAAGGCAATTTCATGCCCCCTGCCATTGAGATTTACTGCTCCTAGTTTGAGGATAAAAGGGCCTGACATACACCTTTTGCTTTAATGTCCATTGGACCGGAAAAGGGGTTCAAAAATTAAATTTTACGGCTAAAAATGAGAACTGAACTGATGCTTGAATGCGATTTCAACCTGTTGGATTTTTAACTGGGACACATAGTATCTGTTTTGTCAGAGTAACGTAAAAATAATACAATTACAGTGAAAAGTGTCGGCAAAAAAGAGGATTCTTAGGAGTAAAAGGCAGAAAAGTATTCTTAAATTACAACACAGTAGCAATTGGAATCTTTTTCAATTTTCCTAAAAGTAAAAGAGGCATTATTTCCACATGTAAGGCCTTGAATGCAATATGGGTTCAGTTGGAAGGTAATTCGACTAGGCGGAATCAAAACCTGTGGTGAATGAAAAGCCCATATATTCACATGTATGCTAAAATAAATTGGAAATTTTTTTCCGTAACCGAAGCATTATCACTACCTTGAAATGAGACCGAATCGCCTTTAAACTGTTCACTTTTATAGAACCAACGTTATTTTTAAAAAAGTCCTCCTTTACGGAAATACAGATAGGAATCTTGAAAAATGTTGGTCGAATGTATTTCTTGCTCTTCCCAATAATGAAAACAAAGCTCAAATCATAATCTGTTCTTCATCAGCGTCACAAATACGTGACACATATGCTTCATTAGTTTACGGATAAATGAATGCACCTACAGCGTCCCAAATTGTCCCTGAATTTGTACCGCCACAGAAAGGTCAGAGGGTTTCAGGGCTCCCCCCTCCAAAGGGCTGTGACGCGGAGCGGAATGCGAACCCACGAAGCTTTAAGATCCAACAGAATCCAGCAAATTGAACGCTGCAAACAAGTTGGCTGAGTTTGAAGCAATCAAGTAGAAGTAGATCTGGACGATCTTCGATGATTGACAGTTCCCTGTTGCATGATAATAACTCAAAATTCTCAAATTTTTGGATTTTGTAAATTTATTGAGCCAGTCAATCTTGTCAAATCATTACATAAATTTTAGAGTATATGTAGGATTCTGAGAAACAAAAATAGCTTATACTACTGATTGCTGTGCAGCATTTTGGTCTCCGTTTATCCGTGTAGTCAAGTAAACTGGTTTTTGGCCCTACGCGATTCCTACTTCCGTCTTGGGAGCATGTATGGTAAGTCAAGGTATAAATGTGCCGTCTTCTTCTTCCTTTTCTTCCAAACAGGAATGACTTACCATGACTTTGGGAAAGATTTTGGGATGAAAAAAACGTAGCGACATAACATAATTTGCATTTCCAGCACTTAAAATACTTTTATGGCAATTTCCGTCCAATTTTAACATTATAAACTTCGACATTGGCATTGGTACCTGTACGGAGTACCGCCTAAATCTCACCCATGCCATTGTAATATGTAATTGCATCTAAGGAAAAAGAGTGGTTGCCTTTACTTCGCACTTTCACTGTCCTGTTCTATGGATGCTAGACTGGTATCCGTCTGGGTTTTTGAGCCTTCAAATCAGAACCACTAATCTTTGCTTCCAGCTGGCAATTGGTGTATTTGAGTCAAATCCTCTGCCTGTTCAAATGATTCCTATCATGTAGATCTTGCAATTGAAGCTGTAGTCAAGAGCCGACACCTATCACTTTTTTGACAAAACCTCTTCCACCGATTCAGTGGTTTATTCAGCTGTGGGACACATGAATCCTACAGCAGCATCATTATCCACGTACAAAATAGCCTGGAGATTATTGTCATGCGATCAGTGTAGAGATGGAGGTGAATGTGTTGGCAGAATTCAAGGCAGACCATTGTAGATGACGGTATAGTTACTGCTCCTCAATCAGGAGTTCTGAAATAAAGATCTTTTGTGATGAGTTTAGCATTAACGTCTGGGAAAGTGAATTATTACTTTCTATATTCTATCCACTAACCACAACAAATCCCCTCATTCTCCTTCCTTACCCAACTGGTTTACTATTTTTCATAATATATCACCAAGGTAATAAAGAGTCTCGTTGATATATATGATGTTGGACGATGTAAAAAGCCCCAAATGCGGTACAACAGAACAATGACATTAATCTGTTCCTAAAAGTTCCTTTTCCATTGTTTGAGTGTTATTTAGTACACGTTATACATTCATTCTTATTTGAAGTAACTAAATAGACAATCTTTAAATGCATCTGCAAATAATTTAAGCGTTGAACTAATCACTACTGCTATGGATGATCCACCGACTACTTCCAACTCATCACAAACTGCAAACTCCAAACTTGTAAGGACACGAAATAAAATGGAATCCAAACCATCTTCATTTCTATCTCCTCTTTACCGTCAACCATTTACCCCATATCCCATGTGATAATGCGAGTGGCTAACACTACTGCCAAGGAAAGTGGACAATCACCCAGAACTTGGCTAGATGTGGCATGCGAGTCAGTGGAGCACAGTAGGGAAAAATGAGGGTGAGGATGCGGCCGAATATGAGGTGAGACATCTCAACCTGTGTTGTGGCGTCCTCCCATGGATAAGTTAGCAGGTATGCCCTCTGCGACACGAGGTATGCGGTCTTGCTTCGTGTTGTGTCGTTGCACAAAAAGGCAATAAATGTACTGTCTTCCCACCCATTCACCAATCCTGACCATTAATTACACAAAATCCAGTTGCGTGGAACAGACCTTAGCTATCAACTGTTTAGAGTTTAAGAGGTAAATGCTTCCATCACTGGCAGCGCCACACAGTGCACACATATTATTTTGGGGATGATTTGATGGCCCAGAAGTGTTGGGTAGTCAGTGGGCTGAAAAACTTGGCTTTTGAAAACAGAGCACGTGCTGGATGAGGGATCCGAGCCGTAACGAACTTACGAACAGGTGATGACGATGATGATGATGTGCCGAGCTGAAAAATCTAGGTATATGTATTAGCGAGATTCATACTTACTATTACCTCAAGAGTATCACTTCATTTGAAATACACAGGTGAGATAAAAAGAGCATTAAAAATGCTTCTTTGTCCCAAAGTATTTAGAGCAGCGATCAGAACCCACTAAATTAGAACACTTTCAAACTGATTTGGTAGTCTGATCCTAAGAAAGTACGGGTTCATCTCTGTCACATATGTGTGACGCCCATGGTTTCCAAGCTAGACCCTGTGTTACAGATAAGAGCCGTCTCCTATTTTTCATCTGTTTATTAGAAACGAGTGGAACAAAAAATGGATAATTATACGTTCTTCGACATTCGATTAGCCGTTAACTTTGTCCAAAAGAATCCCCTGGTTACCAGGATGATGAGAGTCTATTTCAAAGGGCCTATTTACTTCTTCGCTGGAGAATATACTTTGATTTAGTAGGGCTTTCCGAAAGCGCATCTCTTTTTTTTATTGCTAACACACACACAGCAATCCGTAGAATAAGCTTTTAGCATTCTCTAATGTCGCAGTATGACATAGTTGCCTGTCATATGTCATCATAAGTTGCTCTTCTGATAGGACAATCTACTCCTGGGAGGTATTTAAGCAATGCGATGGAGTTGACATTACTTTGTAGCTCACAGTTAATGTAAAATTTAGAGATTAATTTCACTTCTAAGACTGGCAATTTACTTTAGTGAAAATGATCTCTTTTGAGAAAAAAGCTGAGACAAATTAAATTCGCCATCCCTTAAAGCGCTGCTCGTTAGACAGCTTTGAATGATCCAAGTTCCTCAGGTTTGCTGATCCTACGAGCTTGGATGGAGTAGTGACAAGAGCTAATGGCATTTTATGTGCAGCCACATTTTGACAAGTCTAAACCTTACTTCAGAATAAATTAATGTCAACAATGAAGGCCACAATACTTACAGTTGTGTTTCTCTTTGTGCTAGCACCTGTTTAGTCACCCACCTGGCACCTCGGTGAACTTTGAGCCCGCATGAACAAGAGTACCACGCTCATGTCCGATTTCCATGTAAAGCGACATATTCAAAATCTTCTGCTCGTACAAAGTAGCTGCGGGGTTCCACCTTTCCTCCTCATGGTCGTAGCAGTCATCCAGAAATGTCATTGACAATGCTTTCAAGCATATCCAAGACGATTATGTAGGAGAGAGCTTAGATTCCACGATAAGCACTCCCATCGCTGGAGATAAGTTTGTCTTTGAAACACACGGGTATTCTGTTCACGAAACTTTTTTCCCCTTTCGTGGATGTGATAACCCATAAAAATTGCACAAATAACGGACTTTCTAAACGAAAGTGATCCAAAGGCATGATCAGATTCGAAAAATTACTAGTCTCTTCTTTTAACAAAAGATTAAGAGCTTATAGAACATTTCTGAAAGATTAAAGAAGCTTCCACACAATTCGGATGATGGCAGAGAGTTTAGCTCCCCTAATTACCCACTCAAGAAAGCCAAAAATGTTTGGTTTAGTGAGGCCAAAAGCACGGCTCATCTTGGAAAAAGGAAGTAGGGAGATGAAGGTGGCATTTGCATCTCCCAAGCTTACTACTTCGACTTCATTGTTTTCTTTTCTTTAATTCCACAGACGTTTTTTTTCTTAACCGTGTTTGTTCAATCGGGGTGGTCCTTTTAACTCTCATGTCGATAAAGTGGAAATAAGAAAATTGCTTAAATATAAAACAGAAAATTTAAATTTGACTATTGAGATTGCGTAAAGAAAAGGCGGTTACTGATAGAAGCTGAGGAGTTTCAATAATTGGAAGGTCATTAAAATTTCGCCTGAGTTACACAAAAACCTCATTCTTTTGCCTCAGACAAAATTATTGTGCGAGTGGAGGATTCATTTCCTTAGCATAACTTAATGACCCACTAGTCTATGGATGGAATTTTGCTGTAAACAAGTCAAAAGATGAAGTAAAATATTGACGGAGCCGCGGCTTCTCTTCCACGGAGAGGGACAAATAAGGAGGAAAGCTAATAAGAAGACTGATGCATTTTAAATTGAGTCACAAACAAATCCAAATCGAAAACTCGCATACTTTTCCGTGACAGCCCTGTCAGCTTTACCTTGGTGAGCTACTTCCGCCTTCTGTACGGTTCCAGGAGTGGAGGGGGGTGGGGGGACATCCATCCATTTGCAAGGTTTTCAATCTATCCATTGATGACATTGCCGAATCAGACCCCTCTGTCCATAAGGGATACCCATTCCGAGGAGGGTGTGTTTGCGCTTCCGATACGCTGATCTTCTGTCCACAACACTCAATGGACGAAAGAACACCACTCCTTCCAGATAAATTAATCACCACATTTGACAGTGAGAGTGTTGATTTTACAAACTGAAATGTGAAACAATTCAGGCAGTTTTAACTATCTCCATGTAACCAATAAAATGGATTCCATTAGGCAATAAATGCAGCTTTTTCATTATACCGATATCTCTGGTAAACTTGGACTTGAAAAAGCAGTGCACTTAATGAGACGGTTTCCATTATGAGCACAAAAAGCTTTCCTTGGATAGAAAAAGCGGTCTAATATAGAAAGGATTTACTCAATTAGAAACTTCACTGGCAGCCAACGCATTCACAACTATTCCCAGGAGACGAGAGGCCGCTTTCTTTCAAGTCTTGCATATGAGAGGTGTAAATCATAAACAGAGGAAAGACTACATCCAGTAAGATAGGATTACCTGATAAATCTTCCTTTTCTTCGAGGCAGTGTATTTCATTGAACCACACGTTTATCCAGTAGAGTTTTTTTCTGTTTTAATCGTCGCACACTTTGGTCGCCATCTTGATGCCACCGCCTTCCGTACGTAACATTTGCGTTGATAGCCCATCAAACCATCGCCAGCTTGACAATGTGGGCGAATTCTGCCCCCCATTTATCAAGCACCTCTTTTATCGTCCCTCGCATCTCCATTCTAAATGCCACTCTCAGTAATTCATTAATATTTATGATGATAAAATATGAAACACTTCATAAATCAGTTAATTTACTTTAGAACTACGCACATTTAGGAGAGAACACCACAACAGAAAATGACTGCTATCCTCACCTTTTACCTAATTGAAGAGCCATTAAAATTGAGAAAACAAATTCGCATACATTTGTTTAAAAAATATCAACTAATTTCATGCGTTGTTACCTTGATCTATCTATATGAAATGATATTCCATGTAAACATCAACTAAAATATTCGCAAATGTCCTCCTCAAAACAAAGTACTGAGAGAAGAGTTGTGAGCAGTTAGACCGCCTCAAGGGAAGTGAGGGCTATGGTTGCGATTGCTAGTGGGTTCCACCAGATTTTTGGCAAGACTATGAAAGACAATGGAATAAGTTTTTATCAGTTACGGAATAAAATTAAACAACAGCAGTAAGTGATTTTAAATATCTCACCCTGCATAATAATAATTACAGACGTTCATGATCCTTTCCCAACAAGACTCACGTTCAAGATTTATACTTCTGCAAGATATTTTGCAGCCAAACACAACAAAAGCCAGCATGGCCTTGCGAAAATAAAGTGGTGGATTAGAAGGGTTCAGCTAACAAACGCTGCAATATAAAAGCCATTTCCCACCCGAAGTCAAGCAGTCACTAGGTCAACAGCCAGTGAGCAAGCGATTTAGGGTACGCGGTACGTTCTTCCAGCATACGTGGATACAGTCGCTTTCTGGAGGTCATTTTTCTCTGTTGTTAGCGCATATCGTTCGAGTGGGACCCGTATGCTTATCATTCATAGCAACTTTGCATCGCAGATGAAGCTGTTGTATAGCAACAGCTAGCAATAGCTAGAGTTGAAATGTTTAAACCAACTCTAGACAGCACGTACTCCTACTACATATCACGCCCTTTGATGTCATAAAAATTTGGACAAATTTGTAATAAGCAATACCGATGCGAGTGGAGACTTACTGTTGGCATGGAAAGGGAGTGGGAGACTGTAGGCCTGGCCGAAAGGCTATGTCGTCAAGACTAAAGCATAAACACTAAATTGTTGCAGTGATTCAGTTAGCAAACAACCAGACTACCTTACATATTCTCCAAACGAAACTGCTCTTTTGACTGGAGAAAAACGCGAATACAAAATAATCCCGGAATTGTGCATAAAAATATCCAACACGTAGACACGACGAAGGAAACTTAAGCGCATACTTTCATTCCTCGCCATATTTAAGGAAAACAAGGACAAAAATAAAATAAGATCAAAGTTTAGTAAGCCTTAAAAGCTTGAGGTCACGGTAAACAAGGAACTATGGGCATATACGAATAATACCGGAAAACTTTTGAAGTCTGAAACAAATTACTCTGGTAACTTCAGTCAGCAAACCAACCTAAATTTTTCGAGGAATACGCAAAGCTATCCAACAATCTTTTTATATCCAAGTCATAGAAAAAGATGGTCTCATTCTTAAACCAAATAAATAAACAAGCTGGTAGCATCCCGCTCAAGTGAAATGGCAAAGTAACAGTAAGGAACACCTATCTATTCTGATGCAGAATAAATATTTTTGTACAAAGTCGTGGAATAAGAAGGTTGATACAAGTTACGCAAATTATTCCGATCTCGCGTATTCAATATTCAACCGTCGTCCCATGAAATGTGTATCTACACCGAAAGTCTCCAAAGCGCTCTGCAACAACGAAAAATGAAAAATAACACTTTCTTATAACAAAATAAGTAGAAACGTTCCTTCGTTTGTAATCCTCCCAACGCACCTTGGCCTGATCCTCTGTGGCAAACTCCACGAAAGCGAAACCACGATGGCCTCCAGAGGGCTTTTGAGGCATCCTCACCTTGACCAACCCACCAATGGGCTTAAAGAGGGCTGACACTTCGCTTTGGCTGGCCTGGAAAGCCACGTTTCGTACTAAAATGACTCGACCGCGTTCTTCCCTCTTGACTGCTTGCTTTTGCGGCTTCGGGGGAGCATTTTCAGTGGGTAATGTTGGAGAGGACATTACACCAGCCGGCTTCTGGACGATTGAGAACTCCTCATCGTCATCAGTCTGCTTCCGCTTCTTGCGAGATCTAAAGGAAGGCAAGAAGGCGAGAAGGTAGAGGTCATGCAGTTGACAGCAGAGACAAGAAACAAACAAATTTGCATTTATTTGGTAAAATCAAGCAAAATATTGTGAATGATGTGATTAGGTAAAGTTGAATGTAAACCTTTTCCTTTAAACGCGGTGACGTGGTGGTTTACCAAAAAGAAACGTTTTAGGTTTCATAATCACTGATGAACAAAAAAACGATTTACACAAAGAACTACGACGGTAATGACAGAGACGACATCTCGGGGAAGGCAAAAGATTCTGCTGTACAAAAAAATCTTAATAAAGCTGTGGTAATATGATAGCTAAGAAAGGGAAAAAAATTCCTTTGAAAATTTGGCCTTTGATTAGGTTTTAGACAGAACTGATAAGTGAAAGCAGGTTTCTTACTTGCTGCTATCCACTTCTGCATCATCTTCGGCATTCACTTCATCGGCACCTTCCTGCATCATTTTGCGTTTTTTACGGGAACTAAAGTAACAAGAGAATGTATTAAAGGACAATTCACGGTGAAGTAATTTCGAAGGTTATTTTTCATTAATTCACCAGTTTGCAACAGTTCAAGAGCACTAATACAGATAAAATACAGGAACAAAATAAGATTTAAGGAGCTTCCATGCTTCCCTTTAAATCGAGTTATCTTGAAACAAACCGTGCACTGCGCTCCCAAGGTCCCTTCCTTTGGGATGGAAAAGATCTACCAGTTGTAGAAATTTGTCAACCACTACATAGTAATTATATAAGTGTTCAAGTTCTTGAACTTCTGCGCCTCTCTTTCACCAGTTGCTTAGCAGCCCACACACTTAACTTTAAAGCATGCAAATCGACAGAGAAGCACCGGACACGCACAGACACCTTCTGTCCACCATACCCAACAAGTGAAAACACCCTGTTCCTTCTCTTTTGGATTCAATGTGAGTGTAAGGATTGCAGTCAGCAGGCTTGCCAGACAGAAGTAGGCAACATGACGCATTTATTCATTTTCACCTCATTCAAGAGAAGTGCAACGATTTGGCAATAAAACAAACTCTCTTTGAGTAAGACAAAATACCAAGAAACATCCAAACGATGTCATGTTGGACAGGAATAAAAACAACTTGTAAGACTGTTCCCACAAAGTTAAAATTGTTTAATCTCATTGTGAAAAAAAAAGGGTTACATTTTTCAACCACCTTGGTATAAAGTCATTTTCTGAGATTTTCAGTGATTTCCAGAGATGCAAAACGAACTGTCAAAAAAACTAAGATATTATCACAAGGTAAAAGTAAGCAATGCCTTCAAATTTCCAACCAAAAATTCCAGTATCATTCCACAAAAATGGAATCATTGTGCGAATCAAATCGCAGAAACGCAAAACAAAGGTTATGGCAAGCGATGGAGATAACGACTAATAATTGAAGGCAAAAATCGTTCCAAGGACCCATAGGCATAAAAATGAGTTAATTCAGCGGATTAATAAATGGAAAAACAAATATTTGTACTTGTTTTTATCTTCATTCACAATTTCTGCGTCGTCCCCAGCCTCTACCCGTTTCTGCTTGCGCCTCTTCGAAGCTCTGCATAGCAACAGTTGGCGCGAGTCAGAAGAGAGACGCAAAATTCATCACAAGGGACAACAGATAGGATGAAATGGATGGATGCCGGACGGCTGAATGGAGAGGTAGAAAAACCAATGACCAAATGCATGAAATGGGACTTCTTACCTTCCACTATCCACTTGCATGATTTTCACATCATTAGCATCCGCAACCTGTCCATCTTTGCGTTGTTTCGAGTCTCTAACGTGGCATGAAAAAGTTGGCAAGGCCAACGATGAAACGTTTTTCAGTGAATCAAAAATGCTCGAGCACTTTTTCTGCATTTTGGTTGCAGGCAAATGCCATTAAGATACGCAATCATTGTGGAATGTTCCTCACTCACTAGCACCTATGAAGAACATAGACGAAGAATTCCAGCATGTAGCTATCAGATACCTAACTAGGACACCAATTTATCATAATTTTAATTTCCCTTTTAGTCTCGCACATGGTTTCAGTTCTTGCAGCTACCAACGCAGAAATTCAAAACAAGAGAGATGGATTGGCAAAATAATAACTTTCTACTACAGTGGAAATTGTGGAACCCCGCTAAGACAATCAATTCCACAAAGCCTTTCTAAACATTGGTAACTAAGCTATGAAATTATTTAAGATTTCACAATTCTAATGAAAAAAAAACTTGGTACCACCTGAAATCTTCCCCTTCCACAATGTCAACGTCAACGTCGTCGGCTTCAACGACCTTATCTGTATCGAGGATATCGATGAACCTCGCCCTTGCATCTTCTTCAGTTGATCTGGAGGGGTTTGCATTACAATTAGGGGGAAAGTGGATCAGAGGTCAGAGATCCTTTCGACTAGACATCTGTTCAATATTAAACCAATCCTAATGTCGATTGAGAAGGAAAGATATGGCAAGATTTGGAAATTAATATTACAGAAGTAATTACTTCCCACAGCAATAATTTCAAAATATTTTCCTTTTTACTCTTTAAAGTGGAAGTAGCTTTCATCAATTTTGAACGGAGAATGCTAATGAAGGTGAAGAACAAAGTTTTAACGACAAAGATAGCACTAGATGAGCTATTTTTACCATTATTTGGTACGAAATCCCTTCAGGTAGCCAAATATTTCTTCGAGTACTAAATTTTAAAGGCAAAATTTGCATCTCACATCTAACTGCCATGGGAAATGATCGGTTCAAATGAAAATTGAGATTTTTCAGGAAGAGTAGTAAAACAGTACTACGAACTCGTCAGGCTTCCTTTGCAACTTTTCCTTCCCATGCTCCTCTTCACCATCTTCGGGTCTGTTTTCCGGTGGTGAAAGAATTCCCTCCGGAGCCCACTGAACATAGAGGATGTTGTCATTGTACTAGTAAAGGAGGAAGAAAGGAGAGATTTCATTTGGGTGGTCAGGAAGGGTCAGGATGTGGGCAATTCCCCCTTCAGAAGTGGTAATTTACTGAAGAAATCATTGGGAAATGCGTCAATTCGATGACTGTATCATATGACCTTTTGGTAAGTCGCAGCATAAGGAGTTTGACTACATGAAAAAAGCTACCTTTAGAAGTGAAGTCGAATATAACTAGAACGATTTTGGAAATACCCATCTTTGGCGGGAGAAAGGAGTGTGGATCTTAACTTATGAACAAACTTTAATTACTACTACGCTGCTGTTTTCAGGGGACTTTTCATTTCTGACAATTGTTGCCGGTTGTAGGTCCGAAGAGGTCTACATCTATCACACCAGTAGTATATGACCAGTTCTAAACCCCGAAACTCCATTCTGTGTACGGATGCTTACGGGAATGAATCCGTGCCTCTATCCACATCGCAAGAATCTTCACCCAAGGATGATGATTTGTGATGAAATCCTAGAAAAGGCGGTTTATCAAAAAGAAGCAAAAACACGGAATGTACACACATGACCAATTACTGCTTCTTCTACCACCTTTGACGTTTCCAAGGCAAAAAATAAGGCGGCCAAACACTTTCGAATGGTATTTTGCAGCAAGCTATAACGGGCTATTTTGGTCACCCGCTATTTTTCACATTGTCTTTTTAAAAGGAGGAAATTCACTTGAAGACTTTACAAAGCGTAGTATGACTACGCTTAACCTCCCATGATGGTTTGATATTATTCTGGGGCGCATGTATCGAAATCCAAATGCAAGAGTGGATTGTATTAATCAAGGTTCTACTTATTACTGGTATTTAGGTAGAATCTTTAGCAAAAAAGTTGTAATTCCCAGCTTTATACCACTTGGAAACCAAGGGGTTAGAAATTAACTAAAATACATCAAATCTCCTAGAGACACTTATCATTCGACATTTTATAGGGCACAGAAATTCGACGCTACTTAAATGAAATCAGTCAATTCATATTCAACAATCTATTGGAACAGAAAGAAGATACTTCGTAACTCTATTGCTTGAGGTCAATAGTTTTGAAGACCACGAGGTATTAATAAATTCTAGTATGCTTTGCCCTTCAAAATTAGGTATCATCCAAGGAAATGAGGTGGTTTAAGCACATTTATCACGACAAAATGGTAGTGGATCAAGACCTAAGGGTACAGTAATCAAAAGGTAGATTGTCCCGAAAATAAAAAAGCTGCGATTGTTCTGGATGAAAGCAATCGCCTGACTCGATAAGTCTAAAAGACGTCCTTTGAGACTTCTAACGTCGATAACACTTTAAGACCCTCGAACCTAGCATTAACTTAAAAAAGTCGTATCATCAAAAGGAACAGTATCATAGAACTCTAGACCTCAATAGGTCTTTAAAGGTAAGGAACTCGAGGTTCAACTAGATGGAATTAGGGATTGAAACTAAAAATCTAATCAGAATTATTTTGACAATCTCGAGATACCCCTAAATTTAAAAATGGGTAAGTTGGCCGGTTAATACCTATTAACAAAGCAACCAAAAAGGGTTGGCGAATTCGTTACTCCACGACATTGCCCTCATAAGCTTGAAACTACAATTACGATTTATAAATTAAGATATTATGAAGTTTCGAAGTCAGGCACCACTACTCAAAAAAGGTCCGCCAATTCAAACCAGATGAGACAGTACCAAAACGAAGTACCAATTTAAAAGTACAAATCACAAAGCTCCTTAAAATTAAAAGAATTTCGTAGAAGCACTGCTATACGAAAGCATCTCCATGAGCGTGTACTTATGAGCAACTGCACAATGAACTGACCGGTTCATAGGCAAGCGCCTTGTACGCCAATCGTGCAATTTGAGGCATCGCGTACTCCACGATTGCGGTGATTCCTAGCGGTGGAACCAAAATCCTCCGTGGCGGATCCAATGAGTGGGCACCTTTTCGTGTTAGCCGACGCAAAAGGTCCGCCACGTCTTCTTCCGTCGTTCCCACGGGCAGGTTTTTTATCAGAAAGACACAACCCGAGACCTGACGATGCGTGGAGGCGGCCTGCGACTCTGCTTTGTCTCTCCGACCTTGAGAAGCAGATGTGGGGGTCAAGAGATCAAGACGGACGCCCTGACGTTTCAGAAAATCCCGAATTTCATGGACCAATTGGGCCTCGCCATGAGCTATTCGGACGGCTGCGGACTCCTTGCTGGTAGCGTCCAGAAGTCGTTCCTATCAGAGACAACATTAACTTCCTTTGCTTAAAAAAGACTCCAACCCTACAGTCCTTCATGTTTTATATCTCATTAGCAAAACATTTTTATTGGGATGAAATGAGCAGCATGAGACACAAACGCCATTTGGTGTTTCGCGCCGTCCCCACGGCGACAGCACGGAGGTCTCCTCGTCCCAGCCCCTATGCTACTAGTCTCCCAACCCTTCTATGCGTTTATTGAAAAGCTACATCCAGATTTGTGGGACCGGTAATAGTTTTAAGGATAAGTCAGGTGCTACATTGTACGGCGGCAACCCACTTCTTTCACTGGTGATTGAAAGAAAGACCATATCACAATGACCCATTATAGAGGAATGGCATTTGGCAAGAAGGGCTAAATCTTTGAAAATTTACAACAGAAGAACCGCGGAAAATTGCATAAGCTGTTTCCAGCTAATTCAAACTTAAGTCGTGAAACAAAGTTATCGATGAAGAGAGGTTAGTCTGAACAAGTCAGAATCGTTCATGAGAAAACTTCACAAAAATGTTGTGAATTATTCAGTACTGAACAAATTTTGGTAGATAATGATATCTTTTCACGTTGCGAAGATCTAACAGTAAGCCAATGCCCTAGTCCAGACCATACAACCTTTTCGGCAGACGCTTCTGTGTCTTAGTACTACTCGAACACAATAAACTATGCGAATAAGCGATAAGTGGTCGTTTTTATCGCGAAAATATACATAAAGCTCTTCCGGGGTGCACTGATAAATTCCAAATGAGTTTACACCACAAAAACGAGAAATTATTTGGTTAGCAATGTCTAAACCCGGAGGTCCTCATAAATAAGTAATCATGGGAGTTAACATCAGCGGAAGCACTAAGCTAACTGACCCGAGTGAGTAACAGCCCGAGGTTCGTCGACTAGCCACCAAAAGTAAACGGCACAGATGAAGAACAACTCCAATGGATGGCTGAATCGAAGAAGACTGACCACAGAAGGATTTAAATAGAAAGTGTGCGTAATTTCCTGCATTCTCAACTAGTAATAAACCATAAAATTCAGCTTTCGTTCAAAATCGTAAGTGCATAGTATGGTGCAGATATATCTACAGCCAAGGATACTAAATATATTCCCAGAAATAAGTTTTTAAGCGAAAAATTGAATTCCACTACCTTTTGATAAAAAAGGCGAAGTGAATATCCGAAGATTTACCAATATTCGCCAATAGGCAGAAGAACTAAAGGCAAGTAATGCCCTTTCAACACAGCACGACAATATAGCATTATATGACCCCTCATGAACAGTTCCCCAAAACTTTTAGTTTAGAATCACCCACCTTCGAGACACCGAATCTAGCCGACAAGTAGGTGGCCACCGCATCAGGACTGACAAAGAGGGTGTTCCAGTTGTGACTGACTGAAGCCATGGATTTCAGTTCAGCGTGTCTCTTCTTCTGAAATTCTGACATTATTGCTTTGTCCACCTCTCGCTCATATTGATCCGCAGCAACCTCATCACCTCTATTACCATTCTCCTCATCCACTTCCCTTGGTTTTCCTGGGAGAATGTGAAGCAAACGGTTCTGTAAAAAGGGGAAGAACCGTTAAATTTAGTTGTTTTTAAGTAATATAGACAACCTTGAATTTGTACTTGTCCAGTTTATTGAAAGCCGCCAATGCTTCATCTGGGAACAGATAAGTGACGAAAGCAAACCCCTTGCTGCGTTGCAATTTCCGATCAAAACTGAGATGGATTTCACTTACAGTGCCTGAGGAGGAAGTGGAAATAAATGAAATTTTAAGGCGTACCAAATGAGGAGAAGAGTTCAAGTAACTCGGCCTCGGTGCAATCGTACTGCAAGTTCCGGACAAATAACCGGCCAGTCTGGGGCAAAGACATAGTGCTGCAAAAAATTTACCTCCTTTATTTCACTGCGAAGTTGCTCAACTGGAACAGTATCCCAAACGGGCTTTAATTTATCTGTTTTAGGAGTGTTTATAAATAACTCGTCTTCGTAAGGACAGACTCTAATTGCGGTGCCATGAATCTCGCCTTGTTTATGTAAAGAGATATCTAAGTCCTTTCTCGACCTAAAGTAGACAACAGCAACCCCTAGATAATGCAGTTCAGTTAGTGAAGGCTCGACTAAAATACCTCGTTTTAATATTTTGGCATCTTTAATACGGACGGGCTTGAAGAACTTCTTTATTTCAGACTAGGTAAAAAAATGTAAGTAGGTTCAATTTTACGTTACGATCTTGGCGTTTACATTAACATGCTTTAAAAGGAGACGGAGCCTGGAGTGCTCCATCTTCACGCCGCAAGATTGTGCAATCAGGCTCAATAAGGTATGCAGACTGAATATGCACAACCGTAATAAGGCATAATACAGTAGTTATTTTAAGACTGTATGTTCCCTGGAAATCAACACCCTAAAATTTAAAAAAATCATTCTACTAAAATAACTTTGTTGAGGTTTTGTCAAAATTAGTCTAGAGACTTTGCGAAATCTACAATATTTTGAGTATTGAGATAAAGTCAATATATCAATATTTATATATCATTTTGCCTGCATTTTTAATAATCTTAATAATGAGGCATTTTATGTTAGCAGCTAAGGCACCAATTGTTTTCAAAATCGAATGCACTAGACGTGCTCAAAGCCGCGTTGCTGTGGTAATCTTTGGCTAGTTTACACCTCCTAAGCAGCATTTATTGCAAATGCTTACCCAAACAATTTATTTTGCAGAAACAATATCCGTAGAATTTACCTCTAGAGTTGCCAGCTTTTAAATTCGTCAAATTTCTTTAGAATTTTGATTCTACAAATTCACAATTTGTTACTTGTTGTAAAGGTAGCTTGAAGTAAAATTAGCAGGTGGCAAAAAATAAGTAACTTTGTCTTCACAAGCTCATTTTGAAGTCACAACGTACCTTTGCACTTCAATATTAGGGCATTTATAGCCTTATTGTACGGTGTGTGCTTAACAAAAGATTAGATATTCGCTCGACATCGGTGTATCATTTTTTCACTCTAGAATCCAGGATGGAGACGCCTCCTTCAATTCTTTTGGATCTGAGTCTCTACAAAGAAGCCGCTTTTTTTCCTACTTTGGGTCAAAGCACCATTCACGGTCTCACCCATGTACCTTCCCAATCCTCCATCGATTGTGGGGAAGAAAGAGGTTGCCGAAAGTATGACCTTCTCGTTGCTTCCCTACTTCCTGGTGGTGAGAGTTTCTCCTCCGCCCGTTGCTGCAATCTCTACTCTTTCAGTTCTGGTCGTAAACGCCTTGCAACCTCCACTAAATCCTTCGATTTCATGTATCTTCCCGGTAAAGTTGTTTTTAATATGTCTAAGTGCCTTTAGTTGCTGATATTGTCTGCATAAAGGCTTTCTATGACGACCAGTCGCAGCACTATGTGGTTTCGATGGGGCTGGTGAAGGTAGATAGTCGGCTTATTAATTAATTTGGGTTTTGATTGACAGGAGGAGGGATCGTGTTTCTTTAATATTTACGCAGCACCAAGATTAAACGATCTACCCGAACGATGCATCTGTTTGTCGGAGTTGGCACATTTCCCTGTTCAAGTTGTTTACACATAGTGGGTTCTTATATTTTATTTTATCGATGCAGCTTCATTTCCCCAACTAGCAAGACACTGCAGTGGGCATTTTTGTTGTCAACGTCGGGGTCATTGCCGCCACCGTTTGATTTGGATCAGGATAACTCCAATGCGGGTCCGGTGCAAGTCTACACGAAGCTGATCGATGCAGTACTGTCTGAGGTATGAAAGATGAATACTTAGATAGGTTAACCTTTAAGTGAAATTGGCAACCGATTCTTTGGAACTAATCTCAAGTGTGATGCAATGAATCTCCTCGTAGCACTTTCAGTGGGTCATTTGATGTGCCTTTCCGGAAATCGCACGCCAATTAATTAAATAATTTCCAGTGATTTTCTGATTTCATGAAATACTTACAACGCCAGGGTATCTTTGAGTGTTCAAATCCTCAAAAGTGCGGCGTCGAATCATATTTCAGCATCCTTGGTGGGAACTTTGGCACTTGTGGAAGAAGATCACCCATGGTCTTGTTTGAAAACAGGTCTTTTAATTGCATTTTAGACTAGAATTTAAAGGCCTTATTTTAATAGGTGCGGTTGAAATGGCTTCAACGTTTTAAAAAAAGCCACGGATTTATTTCACTTTACATGCTGTTACCTCTATGAACTCTTATCTTATGTCTCGACACCTTTGCGAGGTTTCGTATAACCACGTACTGTATGATGATAGGGCAAATTCCTCGAGGAAAAGTAGAAACTAGATCTCAACTATGAAGTCGCTAAGTGATGATTTTCCGACGTCTAGACATAAGGATGTCACTAAAAGTGACATACAAGGTACCTTGTGACACCTGTAGTAAAAATATGTTGTACACTCGGAACTTGAAGAATTGAGGCGCCTGCACAGGGAAGGTCTCGCGTGTTTTGACAAAACTGCTTCTTCGCATATAGTCTGTGCAACCTACACATGGATGTTTGGTAACTTTCATGGTCATCCGGCGCCCTTCTCTAGCTTTTCCACTTTGAGCTCCTTGGACCAGCATTATAAGTGAAGGCCTTTAAAGAAGGTTGACAACAAGTATGACATCAGCATCAAATACTCGTAAGAACTTGGAGGGTGAAATGAGTATATACCGTCTAAAAGACGTGTGTTGAGGCTGTTTTGAAGTCATTGCATGGAATTTGTGGCTAGAACAAAAACCAAAGTTGGCGCAGTTTTGGCAGCTTCCCAGTTGTGGACTGTCATAGATTCCGGGTGTCGTCCTTAAATGGTGTCTTGCCAGTAATCAGTCAGCAAAATCAAAATCATTGCATTTTGAAGTTAGCCGCCAATGCTGTTAGTAATGTCGCCCTTGGGTTACCACTGACGACATAGGTTGCACCAGCATGGAGGTAGTTCACTTATAAGGTTATGGAAGAACTGAATGAATAAGAGTGGGGTTTTGCGCCACCGGCGTGGAATTTGATTTGTAAGATGGAAAAGCCTCGTATTCAGATATATAAAACTAAGAAACGCTTACTTGACTGTTTTCTACCACCTAGGTGACTGAAAAATCGGATGGAGAAGAGGAAGGGAAGCAATACGACTCAGAAGTACCCCCATCGACGAATTCAGCAGACGAAACTCAAGGCCACAAGCCTGCGACTTCTACAACTGTCAACTCCGTTTTTGGTGTGATCGACAATGCCTCCGCGTGCAGTCTATTCCCAGAACTGAAAAATTTGCCACTCAAAGTGTGAGTTTGTGTTCAAATATTTACTTACAGGTGGTAAGTAGGCATGGCAGAGAATTTTCCGAGGATATTGTATTTTGGAGATGTCCACTTTTTAATGAATGGTTTTTCACGCCTTGGAGTTGTACCGTTTTATTAAAATATGGAAGGTATGATTCAGTGAGCAGTTAGTTTGATTTACTCCACAGAGTCTAGTAGCAAAACCTTGAAGAACTATGATAAGTAAATATGGGATTCGACGCTCTTATACACTATTTTTAAACTTGAAGCTTTGGGAGATGCAGCGGTCGATGCTCAAAACTGAAAATAATATTCCTCAAGCAAAATATTTGTTGAATAAACCACTGTCTGTTATTGCTTAGAGGCATTACCATTTACATTTGTCAATTTCTAGAGTGACCTTCATGGATTTCCTTCTATTGCTGGACGGTGACACTCACTATCGAATGTCGGCTTTTGGCACGCTGGACGGATGGATTGGTGTTGGGCTGGTAAAAATGGCTGGACCAGGTTCGTTTCTCGTTTCTTAGGATGGTTCTGAGGCCATTCTTCGCGCACTGTCCAAGAAGCCTTGCTACAATGATTGTTTTCGTTGAAATTTTTGCGAATTTCCAGGTAATTGACAAGCTACTTAGGGGTAAACACTCAATTCAGTAGAATAGGATTTTTAAAAACAATGCAAATTTTATAACTAACGCCGTTCTGGTGGTCGAGTTAGCTATTTTTCCTAAAATCTATTTATCCTATTTTTTATCATTTTAGAACTAAAGGCTTTCTATTCCACTTCACACGATTCAGCCATTACAAAGCTGAAATTTTTCCGTCAATTCGATCAAAGTAAGGTACATTTGTTAGTTTTTAACCTTATTAAAATAGATTCCACCTCCCCATCGGATGTTTCTCTGCTGGTTTGCTCTGGTCTTGAACCTGCCGTGGTTTACCGGTAAGTAGAGACGGAAATTTTCCCACATTTTTAGGGGAAACTTCCATAAATAGTGCGTTATTTTTGGTATTGAATAAAGCTTCATTGAAAATTGCTAAGTGAATAACGCTTATTGAATTTAGCCTCTGTTATCGTACTACGTAGGCAGTGGCCAAAACAATCCTTTGAGCGATAAAGTAACTTGGTATTTTGTGTAAAATCGTTTCCAAACCTTATTCATCATAGATCAACCTTTTATCGACTTAAAATTAACGATATTTGTTACAAAATTTGCGATTTTAAGTGAGTTTATTTGGCCTAGACCCTGAAATTCAGATTTAAATTGGAAGGAACATAACTCTTATTTTTAGTTCAATGATATTTTGGTTACCTGATTGGCTGGGTATTAGCCAATAGAAAAAGGACCTTGATGAGGTAACCAATTAAATGACAAGAAAATCGCTTTGATTTTCAAAGCGATTGTATACTAGCATTACATTGTTGCTTTTTCATTAAAAGCGGTCGCGCTATCCTTAGGTATTCTTAGTTGTATCGATTTCTTCCCAGGATGCGCCATGCTGCCCACCAGTTTTTAAGCACCCTCACTGGAAGAATTTGCTGTCATTTTTTCTAGCTCTGTGGATCCTAGGGTTTGACTTAGCTTTGACACATCGGCTACTAGTGTCACATGTATGTGAACCTGCATATTCTAAATAACCAAAGTATTTTCCCAATCAGTCTGGCCTTGGTTACACCTATTTGTTTGTCACAAAAAGACTTGCTAGTTTGGAAAGTTCTTGTTATCTGGGTAGTCTCATTTTTTACGTTTTCGTGCCGCAGCTAGGTTGATTAAAAAACGAATGTAAAGTAGTCACATAAGATCGGTAAAACCTCTGGGATGTGGACAACTTTTCTCCGAGATTCTGGAAGTGAAATCGTGTATTTGTTTTCTACCAATCTTACAATTTAGTTTCTGCTTATTCCGGTCACCCATTGACACTTTTTCAGTTGCCCTTTCCAAGACAATCCTGATGGTGGTAAGCTGGCCCCATCTTCTCGATTAGTGCTCCCTCAGAGCGCTGATTTCGACCACGTTAATTGCGCTTGTGTGGCTGATCTCGACTTTGATGGACTCCCAGAGATTGTTGTGGGCACTTTCGGACAGCAGCTGCTCTTCTATGATTGGACTAGCGACCCTCATTCGCCGACCGAAGGCTCTTACGTGTGAGTTGTCAATTTAGTGTTAATTTTTACTTAAAAAGTTGGTTTACCTTCTTCTGTTTTAAAATTAGTAATTTACTCCCAAATTCTCCCATGTTCATATGTCCTTATCTTTCCGCAGACTGGTGCATCAACGACGGATGGTTGGCGCTGTCCACAGTCTGGAATGCGGTGGTGAATGCGACTTTCTCGGCGACGGTACGCGTTGTATAGCGGTTCTAACCTCCCTCGGTCTCCATCTACTGCAATGCAGTCACCTCTCCGACTTTTGCGTGCCTCTCCTCGCCGCGCGTCTTCGTTCTCTCCCTCCCAACTTCCGTTGTCCATAGCAGCGCTGCTCTTCTTTATTGTAGTCCGACCCATCTCATCTAGTCATGCTCTCACTTTTATATTTTGGTTTAGTGTACTTTGTGAGTTTGAAACAGGATTTTTTTCTTTTTTCTATAAAAATAGTAGATTTATCACTGAGTTGCTGGAGAGAGGTGCTTTTCCAAAATTTGATACTTCTTTAATAACCCTCGATATTAAATGGATGTTACAACAAGTTAATTTCCTCTTCTTATAGCAAATTTGGCGGTCAGACAATCACGCAGATTCTCACATTGTTGAGGGTTGTGTGGTTTGTAAATCATCTCATGCATTCAAGTCTGTTCAAGTTGAAGTCGGTTGTATGGTCGTGGATGTCGCCTATTGTAGGAACATACAGTTATCCACTTCTCCACAGATTCTGTTTACGCAGTCAGTGGATCGTTGTGTTTCGAATAGGGCAGGAGTTTGTGTGAACGAGTGATCAATTCAAAATAGGGCCAACTTGATGTGGTCCATCGCACGCACCAGACCTACTTGACATGGGTGATGTAGTAGATTGAGGGCATGTGCGCCCTGGAGCTGTCGCCGAGCGGCGGGGGTCGGTCTCCCCACGCATGTTAGTTGTTCCTTTCTGAGGTTAATTAATCAGTAAGGCGGGCTGATTCTACTTGGCGCACCTCCAAATTGGCCCCGTTTTGACGTGAGAATTATTGTCCCATCTTGGTGCTTAAAAGACCACAATTGCTATCTTCCTTGCGTTGCATGGCTCTATTCCCACTTTCACGACGTCTTCTATTGCACTCATTTTACAATTTAAGCGACATTCAATCATCCATTCAGATGATTGACAGTGGGGCATTCAATTCATCCGCTTTGTGTATTTAATTTCCGGAGAGAGGCTTGTTTGGGTCACGACATCCACTCCCTCGAGTTAAAATAATTAAACGGCTTAAAAGCAGTCGACAAGTTAGTGCGCTTCGATCACTTCTAAGGTGAATCAGTCGTGCGGTGCTGGTACATTGGCACCTATTTCGCTTCAACTCCATCCGTTAGACAAACCATATCTACAGATGAGGAGGCTGTGCTCTACTCTGTGTGGTTATATTGTACCGCACTGTACGGACCGTCTTCAAAACTAAACTGAATCCACTGGACTGAAGTATAGCAGCGTATACTCCCGTACAAATGATTGAAGAATTATCTCACTTGAGTGCTGGTACCTCTTTCCACTGATACCTTATTCCGGAGTCGGTTTCATGTCGATAGGACATGTCGACTAAAGAAATTTTTCCCATGGATTGTGAATGGAAAGCTTTCTTAACCATAGTTTGAAAGGTGCCAATGACTTAGTAATGGTGGTGGGCAACTACGTTAGCAGTCAAAAGTTCGAAACAGAAAAACAGGAAGATGCATCACGCAAGTTAAACTTAGCAATCGGTTTGAGCCTTAAACTCTAACGTGATTTTAAAGAAAACTTGTACTGACGCTCCAAAATGTCAGCAAACATCCCACTGCCATGTATTGGATAACACATAAGTGAAGAACTCTGTCCAGGACTGGTTTGTCAACCACTCCAGGTTTTTACAAAAGACGACACTTTTTGCAAATCAGCTAAGAGGATGGTTGTGCCTTAGACATGATTATTCACTATTGCTCGATCAAATGGAGGCATCAATTTCGATGAGTTGGCTAATGACACCTCATCTGGCGTCATTCTGTAGAACACGTAGCATGAAATTTGATCACACAAATAAGTAGAATGAGGGTGGAGTAACAACGTCACCAAAGTTGCTGCATGATGGCAGACGGAGGGTTCATTGTCATCTTGACGGTTCGGATATGCACGTACCGAGATGCACTCAGCCACTGAGAGGCACCAAGACGCACCATGAGGCATCAGGAGGCACTGAGCCATCCAATCACTTCATCACTCCACGATCGCACCAGTGTAAGTGTAGGCAACACGATGAGGTCTCTGGAAGCGGTAACGATCGCATTGTCATATAAATCCGTGGGTGATATGCATTTCGCACCGACCTTGAAACCGCATGGGTTCATGTGCACTCAAGAATGAGGGCAAGTGTTGGCGATGGCAAATTTAAATCTGCCAAGCTTACAGGATTACCTGAGAAGCTCAACCCTTAAAGTGTATAAGGATGTGGTTTAAAACGATTGGCACCGGTCATGTTACCATTGGTCTGTTCGAATTATTAAAGTGGTGGAAATGGCCTGCAATGTCAGTTAGTTATTCAAACAATGTTGGGTGGATTAATACAGAGTGCCCCAACAAACGCTGCGCATTTTATAAGTGGCATACATCTAAAAAGCAATTTAATATTTGTTTTGATCAGCCAAAGTGATTGCTAAATATCTTACTCAGGGTGTATGGGTGGTGTGTAAGGGTGGGTTTTTTCACAAAATTGACAGTATATTTCAGACGACTTTATGGATGAGTAGAGAGATAGGTAGATGAATATGGGATGTATGTATGTATGCGTGGATGGATGAATGGGTGGATAGATGAATAGATGGATGAATGGGTGGTTGGATGGATGGATGGATGTATGGATGAATGCGTGGATGAAAGGATAGATGAATGGGTGGGTGGATGGATGGATAGATGGATGGATGGATAGATAGATGGTTCGAAAGTGTTTGTCAATGAATGTGTTGTGTTTGCCATTCCCACAATCGACGTACTCTTCGTGGTATTGCTCGCTATCAAACCTTGTGGTTGCCAGCTGAAGCTCTACTGGAATGACTTGTAATGTGGAATGGCGGCCACCAGTCACTCACGTACAGATGTAACCCCTGCTGTCTCTGTACCATTCACATGTCTTACCACTACATTGTGCTTAAAAAGTTCGGTGGGACTAGTGTATATCTATAATTCAGGTGTTTACAACCTTACTTCCAGGGCGGTGTTTCATTTGCATGCACGCACCACCAGTGTTGCCTACTGTCATCTTGACGGCCAATGTCGGGACTGCTTCCTCCCCCCCCCCCGCCCCCAACACGTCGGCCGGCTACTACGAGCGGTGTCGGGATATACACGTATCACTTGTTACCTCGTGCCACATTTCAATTGCAGTAGCAGCCATTCCTTTTCGAGTCTCCAAGGTTAAAGTCGCTGTCTAAATTCAAAGCACCTTTTGTAAACTGAGTGACTGCAACTTTTTGCAGCTGCATTACCTCCCTTTGGATTGGTTCACCTGAAATGAATTTTTGACCCCCCGTATAGCATGGTGCAATGAATCAACCACGCCCCTCTCCAAAAATCATATATTCTAGGAGGATGAGATGAATATCTTCTCACGAATTCTCCCAATGGGTGACCTATCAAGCGAATGTTTCTGAGCTCGTACAATACCCCTAAGAGTAGACACCGAAAAATTAGGCATTGTATAAGTAGGCAAAGAGCTACTTAATGCTCTAAGAAAAGATAATAAGTCCTCTTCAAAACCAAGATGGAAACAGAGATCAAAGAAGAGAAGAGAGAAAGGCGGAGGCGTAAAACTAAACAAAGTGGAGTCATAACGATCCATCGCCCTTGTGATAAGATCAACAAGCAGGTGGATGGAT